CTCTACAACCATTAGGCTCCCATCGCAGGCTCAATTCGTTTACCGTTGCAAGTATTTAAAATATAATCATTTTAGTAGTGTTTTTATTTCAATGAATATTATATGTTAATAACGGAAACCCAAAAAAAAATAGTTGTTTATAATGTTGTGTACATGATGGGAATCACAACAGATTTCTCATTTCATTAAACAATCTATGAGATGGAGAATAAAAACAATCACTTATAAAAAAAAAAGGTTAATGTCATAAAAACCCTCAAGTTTTCAAGGTTTTATCGGTTTTGCCCAAAGTTGAATTTTATGTCCGTTTTTACCCTAACATTTTCGAAAAAAAAGTTCGGTTTTACCCTTTTACCGGTGATAACAGGTTTTCCAGGTTACCATTATATTAAATTCGCAAAAAAACTCTTAAGTTTACCATTTTTTAGCGTTTTTACCCTTAAGTTTATAATTTTTTTTACACTTTTACCCTAAGTATTTTTTTTTCATAATATACGTATTCATGCAGAAAAATCGTATTTATATACGAAAAAATGTTTAATTAAATATTGTTTTTTTTTAATGTTATATATATATATATATATATATATATATATATATATATATATATATATTTGTTTGTGTGTGTGTGTTTTTTGCAAGATTATATCATTTAAAAAGATAAATAATATTTTTAGAATTATGAATACGTGTTTTATAGATATAGTTTTTAGAAGTATAAATACATATTTTTACATTTTTATATATTAATATGTATCTATACTTCTAAAAATATATTTATACTTTAAAAAAATACATATATCAAAATACATATTTACACTTCTAAAAAGATATGTATATACTTATATAAACATGTTTATGAATGAACAAGTTTTTTTTATTGATATGTATATTTTTAAATACATAAAAATATGTATTTGTAGTTCTAAAAACATATTAATTTGTTTTTTTTACATCTTAAATGGTTTATCCAAGAAAAAAAACATACACACACACACACATATATATATATATATATATATATATATATATATATATATAACATTAAAAAAATGTAAATACAATATTTAATTAAATTTTTTTCGTATATAAATATGATTTTTCTGCATGAATACGTATAATATGAAAAAAAAATACATAGGGTAAAAGTGTAAAAAAAATTATAAACTTAAGGGTAAAAACGTAAAAAAATCCGTAAACTTAAGGGTTTTTTGCGAAGTTAATATGATGGTAACATGTTATCACCGGTAAAAGGGTAAAACCGAACATTTTTTGGAAAATGTTAGGGTAAAAACGGACATAAAATTCAACTTTGGGCAAAACCGACAAAACCCTGAAAACTTGAGGGTTTTTATGACATTAGCCCTAAAAAAAATGTATTGTAGCCCAATCAAATTTGGGTTGTTTTGGATTAGTTACTAAAGTTTTTTTTATCAATAGTTTGTTTTATCGGTTAAATAGGAAAAGTATCAAATTTTACAGTTTTATCGGTTACATTTAGTCTAGGTGATTTTTTTTAACCGACTTGTCTTTTCATTTTCTCTTAATAGAAATCTAAACCAAAACACTCCCAAGCCCACCCATAAATACGTTGTCTTCTTCTTCTTCGGTCCCGTAATAACCCTAGCTAATGACTCCTTCACCAACCATCGCCAGCGCCTTTCTTTGCAACCATTTCTTACGACTGCATCACCAACCATCGGCGACGCCTTTCTTCGCGACCATCTTCTACGACTCCTTAACCAACCCTCATCGGCTCCTTTCTTCGCAACCATCTCTGGCTACTCTTTCACCAACCATCATCGACGTCTTCTTTAATGGTTTGTGGCTTCTAAAATCAAGGGTTTCTTCAAATCGATATGTTTGCTTATTCAATTTTTTTTTTCATTTTTAGGTTGAAATTTTTTCTTCACCAACTGTTTAACACATTCATGAGCCAATTTAAGAAATCATTTTAAATAATGAGTTCGATGAGTCGTTGATCAGATGCTAAATTGCTCAAGAACTTAATTGCAACCTCTAAGCTTCGAACAACATGTGTGTAATCCTAGAAGTTTTCCAAGCTATAGATCCCATTTTTTGAGCAATTAAATGTTTCACATCATCACCTTCTTTAACTAAATTGCTTGAACACGCAATTGAATGCTCATGTGCTACTATGGTTCTAGAGCCAGTGAGTGTTAGAAATACAAAAATTGTGTGCTCTTCAACGAATTTGATAGAATATATAAACTTTTGCTTCAGTTTCATTTATTGGATTTGAAGTTTTCAGGAACTCGATTTCCCTTCTTTTTTTGCCAGGTTCTTATTTATTGTAAGAAAAAAATCAAATCATATTCATTCTTGAGTTGAGAGCGATAAATGAGCTTTCCTATGAAGATCAAATATTGGGTTCGAACTTTTGGGTTTGTGGCGAATAGTCTTCTTCAACTTAGATTATCATTAAGTTTTCTGGTTTATGGTTCTTTTGTTGGTTAACTTTTGGGTGGTGATATGCGAGGTGAGGTTGGAACGGGTACATGGTAGTTAGGAACTAGGAAGTATCAAATTGGCAGGTTTTTATTTGAAACAAGAACTGAATATCTATTATTTTACATTGTAAAATGGTGAGTTTGCATCCATGATGGATCTATCATCTTTTCTTGATTGTTTACAATCCGGTGGTGGAAGGTGGATGTGATGGTGATGTTAGGGGTGGAGTGAACGGTGATTGTGATGGTGGGGGTAGGGGTAGGGTGGTTGACGGTGGTGATGGTGGTGGTGGTGATGGTAATGGGGTGGTTGGTAGAGGGTGGTGTAATTGACGGGTAAAAAATATATAGAAATCTAATTTAAAATGATTTTCCACAATGGATATTATGTGGCCCCTAATATATATATATATTATATATATATATATATATATATATCTATATATATATATATATATATATATATATAGTTTAAAATGTCACAGAGTAACCTATTCTTCCTGCATGAGGTCACATAGGCCATATAATGGTGTAACCGACAGGTAAAACTTAACTTTAATGGTCTATTGCGCAAAAATAATTTTAGTGATTATCTCGTTATTACGTAATTATGTTTCATAGCGTGATTATACAAGGGTTGTAGAACCCGACATAGATATTCGTGTTTATAATACGAAGCTATTATGAACACAATAGTAGGCTTAATGAGTTTAGCTACGTACTTAAGTATTATGTATTAAATGGAATTGTAGAGTCGAACACAATGGTAGGCTTAATGAGAAGATGTCGTTTAATTGACAAAGTTGATAAGAATCAAGAATTATTGTGTCTTTTATAGGAAGGTCGAGGGATTGTTCCAATTGCCTATTTAAGCAAACTTGCAAGGAAGATCTTTCAACATTTTTTAGTGAAAACCCTTGTAGTAAGATTTTCTTACCCCCATCTCAAAAGGAGATTTCTTATATATTTTGGTTGAAAACATTATTGCCTAAAGTTTCAAGCCAATCCATTCCCGTGACCACCTAGAGGGTGCATAAATTGCGAACAAAGGCATCCATTATGCAAGTAAATGGTCCAAGTTTTATCTTAACATTGTTGCAATGTTCAATGACACGACATGCGAGCCATCTTTTAGTGTAACAAGAAAAATGTCAAATTATCATCCAAACGCTACAAGTTAATGAATAAAATAGGGACAAATGTATGGATTCGGTCCCCAATCTATATACCTCTCGCAATGAAAGCAAAAGATATACCAACGTGCAATATATATATATATATATATATATATATATATATATATATATATATATATATATAGTTTAAATGTCATAGAGTAACCTATTCTTCCTGCATGAGGTCACATAGGCCATATAATGGTGTAACCGACAGGTAAAACTTAACTTTAATGGTCTATTGCGCAAAAATAATTTTAGTGATTATCTCGTTATTACGTAATTATGTTTCATAGCGTGATTATACAAGGGTTGTAGAACCCGACATAGATATTCGTGTTTATAATACGAAGCTATTATGAACACAATAGTAGGCTTAATGAGTTTAGCTACGTACTTAAGTATTATGTATTAAATGGAATTGTAGAGTCGAACACAATGGTAGGCTTAATGAGAAGATGTCGTTTAATTGACAAAGTTGATAAGAATCAAGAATTATTGTGTCTTTTATAGGAAGGTCGAGGGATTGTTCCAATTGCCTATTTAAGCAAACTTGCAAGGAAGATCTTTCAACATTTTTTAGTGAAAACCCTTGTAGTAAGATTTTCTTACCCCCATCTCAAAAGGAGATTTCTCATATATTTTGGTTGAAAACATTATTGCCTAAAGTTTCAAGCCAATCCATTCCCGTGACCACCTAGAGGGTGCATAAATTGCGAACAAAGGCATCCATTATGCAAGTAAATGGTCCAAGTTTTATCTTAACATTGTTGCAATGTTCAATGACACGACATGCGAGCCATCTTTTAGTGTAACAAGAAAAATGTCAAATTATCATCCAAACGCTACAAGTTAATGAATAAAATAGGGACAAATGTATGGATTTGGTCCCCAATCTATATACCTCTCGCAATGAAAGCAAAAGATATACCAAGGTAGAATATATAAAAAAAATTGTGTATATTGTTATTTCTTGCAATTTGTAAGTTATATTATAAAGAGCTTATTGTCATGAACTTGTATCTACAAGCTCACGACTGTGACACATAATCTTCAAACTAAGTTTTTCAAACTCAAAACACTCTTATAAGCAAGAGAGTGGAAACTAGATGCTAATAGGAAAGCACTTATATTATTCACACATACTTACAATAAATAAAATACAAGTTTAGATGTTTCTTACAAATGAAGTGATCCTACCTATTTATAGAAAAGTCTCTAAGAGAAGACAAGTGAATATACATGGAAATGAACGGACATCTTTCTAGAATATATGTATAGAAGTTTCATGATCTTTATATGTTTTCACCACCTTCCATATATTACGTGATGTTCAAGATCAATGTGGAATTCTCTAGAATCTCGTGTTGAACCCTCTATATGATGCCTTGAAGTTGGTAGTCGTGTCTGAAAGATCTAATATGCTCAAGAGTCATATTAGAATGATATTGTTAATTAACATGTAATACTAAGGGTCACACTAACAACAACTTGATATAATTGATTATTTATTAGAAATTGATTTTAATAAATATTCATAAACTCTTATAATAAATTGGAAAAAATATTTATTTCATGAAAATAATTATTTTACAATTACAAGTAAAACATTGTTTCATATGGTATGAATTAATAAGTCACGCACAACATTTTCGACTAGTTGAATCATTTTGTCTTTTACCTAAAGACAAAGTTTATATGTTATAAACTTAGAGTATATAAAATTTAAACTATCTCTTCTTTTTTCTACCTTAGGTCGAAACTACCTAAGAGAAGAAGGGGTGAGGTCTTTTGATTAGTTTAATCAAAAGAAATGGGTATGGTGAATGCATGGGGGGACATGCTTGTCTAAAGAGCTAAATGGCTAAAGACCTTAAGGTAATGTTTCTACTTTATGGCTAGTCTTAAGGGCTTTCATTATGGATGATTCACTCTTGCAAATGGCTGAAAATTAGCTCCTCTCTCTCACTCTCTTACATTCTTGCAAAGTGCTAAAGTGTTGAATTGTTGAAGAGTTACTTGCATTCTCTCTTTAAGTCATAATTTTGTTTTGACTTAAAGCTTATGAGTTGTAACTAGCATTACATAAAGTTGATCAATTGTTGGTGTCTTTTGGTTCCACATTCTTCATCAAAACTCAAGCCTCCCAAGAGGACTCAAGGTAAAACAAAGGTTGTTATCATCTTCCTTCTTCTATGATTGTGTTTTTATGTTTCCATTACTTGTAAGAAGATTCTTGGTGGGTTGTAATGTGTTATTATGTTCAAAATTTTGAGACTTTCGTTGCTAATATTATGAGTTTTTAGAAACTAATTTTGAACAAAACCCAACAATTCGTATCAATAGCCACCTTGCAATTTTGGTTAGATTTTTTGATTTATGGAAATCTTAGTTTTTGGAGAATAATGATAACTTGGTTTTGTTTTAAAACAAGTTCATACATATTTTCTTTGACCACTTTTTAAATTGTTATTTTTTGTGACAAAAACTTACATGCATTTTTTATCACGTAAAGTTGTCTTAGAAAAACAAAGGTTGTTTTATGATTATATGTATTTTAGAGTGCATAAACAAGCATTGGACCATTTGTGTTTTTGTTTGTGTGATTTATTTAAAAATGGTTTGTAATATTCTTTTATTCATAAAAGTATGTAATAAAAGTAGCGAGTTTTTATTCTTGTTATTTTTATATAATAGATTAGTTTTAGACTGTTAGCCTATATATTACTAGCCCACTTGTTTATGGGCCCTTTAGTCTTTAGCCCATTAGGGTTTTGTCTAGCTAGTATTTATATCCGCTTTGTTCTTTGTAGTCTTTATGTTTTTCATTGAGAACCCTTGTAATTTCTCTTCATTATAATCATATAACAATGTTATCATGGTATCAGAGCGGAGGTTTGATACGTTGTTACAAGACTTTGTAGCAGTCATCTATATATATATATATATATATATATATATATATATATATATATATAAAACTTGTTAGATAAAACTTTTTAACCCTTTTGTAACATGTCGAGCAAAAGGGTATCTTTCTCAAATATTTATTGTGTTATACAAACTGTTAAATTCTAAGATTTTCATTTGCATACAGAACATACATATAAACTATAATAGGTATTGTTTAGGGAACACTTACACTATTTTACTAAGTCAAGGATATCATAATAAAATAATTATTTAATTATAATTATTATACGCTATAAGTACACTATTACAAGGTAATACATACATTTTGAAGTACAAGAGAACACTAGTACACTATACGTAAATCAGTTAATACAGGGTTGTGAGACACTACTTCATTGTACTCATTAGAGTACAGGTCAAAGTCCTATAAATCGTAACCAGAGTCTCTTGGAGGGAGAGCGTGAATTTGTGTATAGATCTATACGGGACTGACAATCTCGCACCTCAACTGTTAGCTACAGTTAGGCCGGCAGGCCTGGGGTGACAAATGTCATAACATTCTAACGCCCGAAGAACGTTGTGCAGGCCACTAGGTCATTTTAGAATGGTTATGAGAAACTCACAATAGTATCAACTAAAACGTTTAGTTTACGGGAAATACATAGCTTCAAATGATTTTATTTTAATAATAGAATTACTTCACACCGCTTTTCTAGTATCATGAACATACATTTAGAAAGGATCCATAATGCTAATTCTATGACTCCTTAGTTTATACATTAGGGTTATATATAAATGGGATCCGGTAGGTAGTAGAATGGGTAATTTCCGCTTTACTTCCTGTTCCTTGTTTGGTTGTGGGCTTAGAGCAGATTCACACAGTCTACTACCTATTCGATCTTGGATATATATGACTCGTATACACTAAGTAATCATAGGGGGAAACAGGTATGAGTCAAGTCACGATATACAAGTACAGTACATTATTTTCTAGCACAGAACATATATTTCTGGGGAAAACATATATCTATATAGTTTTATTAAGTAATAAAACTACAAGTATACTTTTTCAGAGTACATTAACATGCATACATTTTGGCCTTAAGACCTAAGACTACATCTCATCTTACTAAAGAAAATATAGGATTTTCTGGAGGAACACACTAATACTTTCAAGGAACAAAGAACATACCTTTTACAAACAAAATATTTATGAACTCACCAACTTAAATGTTGATACACTTTCAAAACCACTTGTATTCTCAGGAAACTAATAGACAGGTACACCACAGGTTTCGAGAAGACGGAGCATAGTAGTTTCAAGTCTTTGTTTTGCTATTTACTTTTGTAGTCAATTAAACTGTGATTCGAATACAATGTAAACACTATATTATCAATACTATGGTTGTTGTTGTTCTGATTACTATTATGCAATATTTGTGATACTGTACATGACGTCCTCCGCCCCCGAACGTTTCCGCCGTTCCGGTTTGGAGGTGTGACATAGGGTTATGGAAAGGTGACAGGTTTATAAGTCCCGATCAATTCAAACTTTGATCGATATTGACACTTTTAGTCCCTCCTCCTTTTTCTTTCAAATTAAATCCAAATGTTACCAAATGGCCCCTCCTCTACAAAACCTTCTCAACTTAGGTCCAGAATTTACTCTTTAACCCCTGCTTCCATAAATCCTTTCATATTAAAGCCAAATGATATCAAACACCCCCTGACTTCTGAAAATTGTTACAAAATAAATCCCAGAATTACACTTTAACCCCCCGAAGATTCAAATCTTATCATTTGGCTCCCCGAAACCAACACCCCGTTAATTATTATTTGATTTTGGCTGCAATAATATAAAATAATAATAAAGATTACATCTCGGGGTTCCGAGTTTATTATTTAATTACTCTATTTAAACGGAATGTTACACCATTGCAAAATATATGAAATTTTTGGCTATTTTTTTTATAAATGATCAAGGAAAATAGTTGTTTTAGTCATTTTCTCTATATTGGTTAAGCTATTTTGCAAACGGTTGCTTAACGTGTGAGAATCTACTAAACAGTTCGGATCAAATCCTGAAGAAAGCTATAAACTATTTTCTGAGGATTTAATCAAAAAAAAAAATTCAAATTTACTGTCGTGGAAACCTTAAATTCTATGGCACACTTAATATAGTTAAATTGTATATACTAGGCTTTTCCTAAAGGATGACATGTAAAATCGATCAAAGGTCAACATCAACATCACTTAATAGTAAAAAGTTTCATCAATTGTTTTAGGTAGGTCGATCAATTTTTTTATAAACTAGCAACTCAACTTTTAGTTTTGTTCGAGAGCATAGTTCATCAAACATGTTTTGTGCTAAAGTACATCAAACATAATTAGATGAAAATTGTTTTGACTTAATAATTACCAAATGGCTTCTACCCTAGCGGTACCAGGTGTTGTTCTCCTTCCTTGAGGTCGAGGGTTCAAGTCCCCTATGAGACATAGGTGGTATTCTGAGTAATCTAGGAATAGGTTAGATTTGTCGTTCCAAAAAAAATATTTCAAACTAATCATGATTATGACGAATTATAAATAATATTTGGAAAACAGTCACAATTGCAACACATAATGCTTCATTCTTTTCCCTTTCAACACAATTCAAACAAATTTTCATATTTTTCATAGCATTAGGAAAAACAAAATGAAAATCAAGTAATTAAACCTCTTAGAAAATTAAAAAAAAAAAAAAAAAAATCTTTTTGAGAAAAGAAAAAAGAAAACCCATAGACATTCTAACTCAAATATATCCTAAAAATCCAAAAAAATTCTAGAATATTGGAATAAAGTTGAAAGTTGTATTTAAGCCTCTTGAATTAATTTGAATAGTGTAAGTAGAAGCATTGTTAGTTGTTGACTGACCCAGATTTGATTGAGTCAAGATCTGATTGACCGAGTCAGACACAACCTTGAATCTAACCGAGTAAGAGGCATATCAAAGGAGTCAGAACCGAGTCAAAGGCTTCCAAATGTGATACCAAACAGTCTAACAGCCTCTCTTACCGACCCTCAAACAGTCCCTTACTGTATAATGACATTGTCCTATCTAATTATTAATCAAACATTTCTATCAAACTGTAAGTTGTTGAAAAAAAAATAGCAAAATACAAATGAAAAAACAGATTCACACCATGAGGTTACTAAAAAAAAGGATTATGTAAATTACTTGTTTAAACACTAAATTAATAAAATAAAAGGTAAGCTTCCCCTACAAAAAATAGCATAACTCATCCGAGTATATGCCCATATATATACACACACGATATAGACAATCAACACTTTTCAGTTTCCATAATCAGAAAACTTCACAAAAAATGGCAATGTACTTTGTTTTCCGTTATAACCTAACCCAATTCTTGCAAAATTCCAAAAAAGGGTAATGTTCTTTTTCATAACTTTGCAAAAAATATACTTCTTTTTTTTGGTTTCATTTGAAAAGTCAATAAGTCAATGAGTTTTATGTGGTGAGGGCACTAGGGAGGTTAGAAAGAGAACCAAGAACCTTACCCCCAACATCCGGGAAACATTCGTGTCCAGGTAAGGGGCTGACTTTTCCGTCCTCATCGACTTTGACAGGGTATTTAAGAAGGTGGCCTTGTAGAGGGGTAAAATCGTCCGATGTGAATCTTGTCCAATTTTCTTCTGCTAAATTGTTTACATTTTGCACACAGTCTAAGCTTTGTGGCTCCTTGATGTGGTCTTCAATTCCCATGTGTTCTGCCCATAATGACATTCGGTATCCGTATACCTAATCATTGTTTTTCTTCTAATGAGAAGGGTATTTTCGTCTTTTTACATAGACAAGAGTGAGAATAAAAAATAAAAAATACTAACTTGACCACGGGGATGGTCTTGCTTTTGTGTCCACGTGTGATTAGGCTGATAAGCGCCCATAGCTATCTCTGTATCTCTTGAACCAGCCATTGATCTTTGGTTGATGTTAGCAGATCCCAATATCACATACTCGTCATCTACAATCATTCCTTTAGCATGTACATATATCATGAACCTTCCATTTTTATAAGAAGCCGAAACCTGAAAATTTTATAAATAAAATAAAAACAGTAGAAATATGTATTATATATGAAATGCTGCATCATTATTTACCGAATTACTTCCGGAAGTTGAATCTTCTTCTTTGCCTCTTTCACGATTCCCAAGGCAGTAGAAATTTAAGTAATCTTGTGGATGTGCATCTGTAATTTCTGAATTCTTTAGCTCTTGAGCAATAATATCGTACATCATTTGCATAGTTTGTCCCTGGGAGACCCAATCACAATCATTGGTTCGAGGGTAAAATGGTCATTTATAATAAAGTTTTATGAAATAAAAATATAAAATCTACCTGCCAGAATAAAATTTCTTGAACAGGGGCAGAGGTGGGATGGCCTTCAGGCCACATTGGAATGATGATGTAAACCGCAAATCTCTCATTTGCCCTTATCTTACTAGTAATCTTTAATGTAATCTCCATTGGTATTAAATGATCAGCACCTAACAATACAAAAAAAAACGAACCATTTTCCTCAAAATCATAAAACATTTGCATATTATTAGTGGAAATACTTACTTTTTGTAGCACAAAAGATAAACGTAATCATAAAATGAGAATGATTTTTTCAAAATAAATGTTACGAAATCTAGAAGATTGATGAAGATTTAGATAGAAAGTGCACAACCTGCATCTTTATGAGATAGCCATCCATACGATGACCCGAGAAAATATTGATTCTCAATATAGATAAACTTCTTTGCGGATCTTATGGCTTGAATGTAGGCTTTTTGAATGCTCTTATCAATCACAAGATGTTTTGCACAAACTAGTTTCTGCAATAAGTAAAAGCATTTATTTCAACACTGGACATGTCAATATATTCAATTCTTGTAAAAGATTTCGATAATGTCAACAAACTAGTTTCCACCTATGTCCTTCAAACTTTTTTCAAAAGGTTTCAACAACTCAACTTTCAATTTGGTTCCATTGTTGTAATATTGTGTGTTTATTTTGTTGACGTGGCAAATTCATTGATACAATTTCTTAACTGGTATGAAGCTGTTTCAATAAACCTTCCATGTCAACACTATATAAAAAATTTTACAATGGAACAAAAAATTGAAAGTTGAGTGGAACAAGTGTGAAATTTGATTGCTATTTAGTGACAATTGTCTCATTTCTTTGTAACAAAAATAAACCTGATTTTCAGCTTCTCGAGCATCTTTTGGAAATCCTCTTAACGAGCCAGAATCGATTGAGCGGAAAACCTGTGAATGAGTTAAAAGAAATCGCAATAAATCAATTTTGAAAAAGAACTACAGGATAACGATTAGATTTTGAACAATTTTTCTCATATAAATATATATATTTGAAGAATGATGAACCTGAACATGCCAGTTTTGAGGATCATTGTCCCTTGAAAGCCATGAAGCAGGAGCATCTTCTGGAAGATCAGAGGAAGGATTGAGTATCCATGAAATGCGTTCTATTTTAAGCAACGCATCTTCATGACAATGAGATATTCTTTTGAAACGGCGTCCAAGTTCAGACCATCTTGTGGCTTTTCTCCATCTTTGCTCGAAGTTTGTGAGGACATCGTATGCAGCTGGACCATCGATTTTGCAATGTAAATCATGCCATGGTTCTCTTGGAGCACGTGTGCCTGACTGTTATATTATGGAGATATTAGGGCACTGTAATTTGAAAATTTTACCCTAATTTGGATGACATTTATGTAATTTAATAGAGATTTTTCGAAGTACAGTGTTGTAATACGAGAGCTAAAACAGAAAAAGGTAGAAAATGTAGTTAAAATAATTTATAAGCTTACAGAAAATGTTGGATTGTGAAAATCGGTGGCAAATACAGTGTCGACATCTTGAAATAGACGATGATCTGGTGTGTCATAGCGTCCATCACAGAGGTCCAATCCTCCAATAAAAGCGGATATTTTCCTGTAATTTCCTTGGGCGAATGTATCCACTATCACACATTTTTGATGATGAGTGTATAGAGTCCCAACAACCTGTATGAGATTATAATAAAAAATTAAATGTAAAGGGTAACGGAATAAGCAAGGTAATACATTTGATATGAATTTGTTGTATTATATGTAAATACGATGCATACTTTTAACCCTATTCTATGCGTTATATAGTTATAGTTGATGGATTTTAATTTTCAAAAATTAAAATTGAAACCCAAATAAGAGTACGATAAAATAATATATTTCTAGTTACTTTTAGAAAACAAAACTATAATGTAATTAACATCTTTTAAAAAGATCAATATTGTTAACGATTACATAAATAAATATGGGATTTTCGATAGAATGAAACCACCTCTAACCAAAAATAATAATTAACAAAATGGAATGAATCACGTTCTACATCCCAATTCCATCGTAAAACATTACGTACCTAGTTTTCTTTTTCTTGAAAAAAAAATGTCAATTAGTTGCATGTTCATTCTACATAATTATATAAAGTAAAATGATGAACATTATTGTGACTTTTAGCTGTTGTAGATTTTCGCATTCATACACATGGACAAAATTTTATAAAAGAAACCATAATAACCTAAAGTACTAGAACCTTTTGAACGTGCACATGGCAATAATCTAATAGAAAATTCTGTGAATAAGTTAATAAAATTTGGAGAATGGTCAAAAGAAGATGCCTGTTGTTTAATAATGCTAAGCTTAGTGCTTGCATATCGGGGAGACAATACACAGTGTACAGATGAGTGTTTGAAAAACTTCCGAGTATCTTCATCATGAGTTTGCATCACTCCTTCCTGTTTACACAACAATCTGAAATATTAACACAAAAATCATAACAAAGTCAAAGACTTCATATCTTCTTTTCTATTTGTTCCTTTCCAATTTCATAATTTCTACTTTTGGTCATGATTTGGCACATTTTATTATTTTAAACTGGTTATTATATAATAAAAAGCACTTGTGTTGTGCGCCTAAGAAAAGTTTTGACCCTTTCTTGAAAGCATCAGCCACCAGTCTAAAAATTAAAAAAAGGAAAAATTTTGTTGCATAAAACCGTTGTTTGAATGACAATGTTTTCGTCTTGACATGTAAGACAAATGTTTGTTAAATTACCTAACCTACGCATTAATAATAAAACTGATGGAATATCACATATACCAAACTCAATCATACTGTCTACCCAATTCAATAGCATCAATTAATATGTAATGTAGTTAGTAGATAGTCCACGATATTAAACTGAAAGCTTAATATAATGTTTGAACATTTATTTTATATTTGATATGTCCAAAACCATTGCAATTAATTCAAATTGTAACAACAGACGTGACACCTAGTTTGATAGTTAATTATCAAATAAGCAAAATTGCAGCCTTTAGTTTAAACTTAATTAATTCACAGAAATATTTTAAGAAATGGAAATTTGTGTCATTTAATATCATATATAATTGAATTCACAATAAATATTTCACTATTAAGATATGTAAAAACTTCGATCTAATGTAAGGAATCTTGTAAACCAGAACTAATGTAATGGATCATGAAGAATAAGATTGAATGAACATGAAATAAAAACCCATAATACCAGAAGGGATAATTGAAGAAATACCGTTTTAATGAAGAATTTGTTGTGTGAAGTCTTATCATCCCAAACAAGCAACAAAACCCTCACACCTTCTTCTGATTTGTACTTCAACAACTCACCAAGAGTCAAATCTCCACCATTTGGCAATGGCATGTTTGGCTCTCTGATCAGCTTCACCTTATCGTAAATCGACCACCCAACAATGTACACAAGATGATGTGCCTCCAATATAGCATGACAAATATCTTCCCAACACCCCCTCTGCTTAAAGAAATTACACTCTCCACCCTCTTCTCCCCCATCCAGTTCAATTTCCGGTAACGTCCCTTCCACCGTGTGAGCATCCTGATACAGAGTCACACTCCCACCGGATCTCACCGGAAAATAACTATCCCTCAAGCAAAACGACTCTTCGCCCTCGATTGATTGTTCGTTCTGGTCTTCACAAGAGGTATATTGGAGCTGTAATCGTATCGCGCAATTAGGTTTTGGTTGTTTACCAGATGGACCAATAATTGGGAACCAATCGTCAATAAGCTCCCCGGAGTTAATCCTTTCGGCGGAGATCATAGCCACACCGATCAATTCAGCACCGAAAACATCATTATCCTTTATCTGAATCTCCACATGCGTTACCGGATGCGCGACTGGCGTAACGAAATGCTCGTCCCATACAGGGTCTTGTGAGTTAGGGATCACGCGCGTCCGTGCGACAGTGGCACCGGCGAGACAGACGGATGCGTACGGATCACAGGTAACGAATCTACGTCGGCGCGGCGTTCCTTTCTTCGATGACGCCGTCGGTGGTTTCGAAGGCTCGAGAGCGTTTAAGCAACGTCGAACACGTTGCGTCAATACGTCCATGTTCGGCAAACATTGAGCTTCGGATATCGTAAATTCTAAGACTCCATGAAGATAAATGATCGGATCTGAGTCTGAATCACCGCTACCCATTAGTAACAACATCGGATTTTATTTTATTTTTTTGCTCTGTAAAATGTGATTAAAGGAAGTGCAATGGCGTTTTCTCACGCCGGAGAAATTGACGAAGGTAATAAGTTGGTGGTGCCGTTGCACTTCCGGCGTACTTCCAACGGCGGAGGATACTAAAAATGGCAAGTCTGCGGCGGAGAAGGTGGTCGAACTATTGGGCGACGAAAACATAAAACTCCTGAACACGTGCAGAGCCAAATTAGAATTTTAAATATTTTTTTTAATAAAAAAAAATGTTGACCAAATAAACACAGACTGCACACTTACATTGAAAGCCTTTTTATATGACTTCAAAAGAATAAAAATAAAAAATTATTGATTGTACAATGTACATGGAATTGGTTGTTAATAACTTAATTTAATTTTAAAACTAATATTGTTATTTATAATAAACTATTAAATGTTAATTTGAAAAATATGTTCATAAAAAATAGAATTGGTTGAGAATATATGTATTTTTAGAGCAAATTGCAAATTTGCAATAGAAAATGATTAAGCTAAATATGGTAAAAGGAGCCTTTCGTGTTGACCTGTCGACAATTATTTTTTATTTGTTAAATATAAACTATATAAAATAAATATTTTATATACTAAACTTGATTATAACATATAGGCGGTTAAGATAATTAGTTTTATAATAAAACGATTTAACCAAAATTATTTTTAACTATTTTTTTAATAAAACGTACAAGGATGTATAAATACTAGAAATGACTAAAAGACTACAATAATGGTGCCCTATTTTTTACTAATCAAGCTTTTTATTCTTTACGTGTGAATAAGTCTTTTCTAACAAAAAAAATCTCAAAGAATATATGAACCTCAAATATTTATGATATATATATGCAATTGTGTGAAATCAATTTCCCAAAATTGTATATTCAACATTACAAAACCAAAATTGGTATAGAATATTTATTTACAACATTCTTCAAAAGAAAATACATTTAAAGAAATCCTTGTGACCATTTACACATGACTCAAACAAATCAAAAAAATATTGAATAAAAGAATTTTCCACAAAAAAGACCAATAAATCTTATAATTCCAAAAAAAAATAATTAAATATCATGCAATTGAAGAGGCTTAAGTTGAGGCATGGTTCTTCTCTTCCACAGATTAATTTCCTTTCTTGGCTCCAAATTTAAACCTGCAACTACTGTAATGAATTTATCATCAAACCCTTGATTTCTCATCACCACTGGAGCAGAAGAAGGGATTTTAATCTCTTCATCATCACTTTCTTCATCGGAATAATAACTCCGACCACCGGAATCCATGGCTGCAGCCTCTAATTTTGTCCAATCAATATTCGAAAGCTTACCCCGACCACTAGAAAACCGCTTCATCGAGCTCAAACTTGGAGTTTTGTCAAGATACAATGGAGCCTTTGACCTTTTATCATCAAGATCTGATTTTCTTCTACTACTGCCGGGGGTAATCGAAATCCCAGCAAATATTTTCTTAAACCCTAACTTTTTCTTGCTCTTATCAGTTTTCGATGAATCTTCATCATCCTCGACGCTATATGTCCTCGCCGGCGTGAAAGACGTTGTTCGTGAAGCTTTATCTGTGGGTTTTACTTTTACAGAGTTAGTTGGTTTGTTGCCGTCTACGCCGTTCCCATGGCGGCGTTGTATTTTTTCTTTTTGATGCTTGCACTTGACTTGACCCATGCATGAAACTCTTGGGGATGTGGGTTCGTAGACGATGGTGTAATCTGAATTGTTCTTGATTTTCCGGCGAGTATCAGCCGGAATCATGGAAACCATGGGACCGGAGAAGCCAATTCCGAGATTGGATTTATGGGTTTTTTCCGATGATCTCTTGTCTTTCGCCGGACTGTAAATCGGAGGGTTTTGAAACGTAACCGATGATGTTGCTCTTGGTAGAAACTTCAAGAGTGTGTTCTTTGCTTTTGCTGATGATGCCTTTTGTTGATCCATTTGCTTATGTATGATCGAATCTTATCTTCAAGAATGAAATTAATGACTACTGACATACTTTTTGGGTGTATATATATTGTGATCCAAGGAAACAGAGAGGAAGGTAGGTGGTGGGGGAGAAAAGTCTCGAACTCCGGCGAGATGAAGTGAGACAAAATTAGGGTAACGTGTTTAGAATAAAAAAGTCAATAATAAAACTTAGGTTAAGTTAACCTAGTTTGACTCATTTGAAGGGTATTTCATAATACTAGCCCCTACACTTTTGATAGTTTAATATACGGTCCAAAACTTTCTTGGGTTATTGTATATACATATGTAAACATTTTAATTGACAATTGTTGGATGACGATCAGGTATAAAAGTGGATCGTGGACACATTATTTAACTTGGTATATATATTACTAATTATCGATAAACATTCTCTTTACAGTAACAAACAATGATTGTAGCAATACTCGTCTTTATTCAATTTTACTTAACATATTTATCTGATTACGAGTTTTAAAGGCGAGAAAATACATCATGTTTATATTATTTTACCAAAGTATGAATAAGCATCTTTATTTATAGAAACTTATACGTTTTTACCAAATAATATATGTAATGAAGGATATTCATTAGCAATTTATGGTCATTATTGAATTTGTTCTAACTTTTTTTGATCAGTTTATGTATGCATAAATTGGTATGCTTTAATTAAATTAGTATTCTATAAATAAGGCGTAAGGCCTGAAATAAGAATGGATCATGCATAGTAATATTATGATTCCAAAAACTATGAATGTTTGTTTTTAAAATAATTAATTTTGTTATTCAGAAAGGATTAAAATCGCACGTTTAACTTCCATCTTGATATCGACATTTCTTTGATTTGCAATCAAGGATTTACAATCATTTGTCCTTTGAGCTTAACAAAACATTCACATGTAACAAACTTATTATTATATCTATCTTTTTACCAAAATGTAACATTAATTTGCTCTAAATGTTTGTAATTGTGTATCAGTGTATGTAACCATAGTATGATGAACTATGTTGTAGTTTTTTTAGGTCTAGCCACTAAAATGGTTGTGTTTAATTAATCAAACATCACATTTAAAATATGGAGGAGACATGCGAAACAAAACGAAAAAGTAATGGGGTGGGATGTAAATAGTCATGCTGTAAATCTCCAACTACGACTAAACTAGAGTTCTGACTTCCAGCTAAGCATGTAGACGTGGTAATCAACATTACTAATTATTTATTTCTCGTATGAAACATAAAGGTAACGATAATTATTGACTTTTGCAATCTTTAATTCTTTATGTTGGACTGTGAGTTACTCTATTGCGGCTAAATAAAATATTAAATGTTTTTTAATTTGTATTTTTTTACTAATAATAACAATAATACAAATAGGCAAATAGCATTCATTCTTAAATAAAAGCATCGTTATTAGTAAGAGAAAACTTGTCACCCCTCAATCAATTTTTGCCATTTTTTTTTTCAAAATAGTTAAAAATATGTTATAGTATTTAGGATTTTTAAAGAATTCTAAACAAATTATAATATGTTGCGCGTTTGACCTTATTTCACAGTCACGGTAGGTGGCAGGCGCAGGAATAAAGAAAATTTTGCCAAAACCACGTGAATGTTATATACGCATAGCACACGTCCATGATTTGCACGTGTGCAGAACATTGAAAACCAATTCTAAAAGTTTATTTTTGGTCCATCCATTCTTTGGTGAAAAGATTCGTTTTTAAGTTTTCTCAAGGATTAATATTTATGTCCCGTTTATTTGTATTGTTTTATAAAAAAAATTATCTTTTACATTTAAAGTTAAATCACTACTAGAAACTTGAGTTTCAGCTACCGATTTAACAACGGATAAATTATGTAGCAAATTTTAGGCTTATAGTGAGGGATTTACTACAAATATAACTAGGGGTGTTCGTTTGGATGGATCGTTTTGATCCAATCCAATCAAGTGAATCCAAATTGATTTCGGTTTTCAAAACGTGGATCCGAATAGTCCAAAATAACTTCAAATCTGATCCGATCCAATCCAATTACAATTCGGTTGGATCGGTTTTTATAATTCGGTTTTTAAAAACTAAAACATTTTAAAACGACATATAATTATAATATTACCGAATTTTACACAAGAAGAAAAAACAAATTATTTAGTTACGATTTGAAATTTATAAGCAGTTATTAAGAAGGTATATTATATTTTAATATTTTATAGATAAAAAACTTTTTAGAGAAAACGCATATTAATATTTTTTTATTAGGTGAAACGTTTTGAACCTATTTCAAAAAATAAATTACAAAATTAATAAATAATTATAGATATATATTAAAAATAAATAAATAATAAACTGTTATTCGGTTTTTTTGGACTATTCGGTTCTTATTTTATAAACCATAACCAATCCGAAATCCAAAATAATAATTCGGTTTTGTCGAAAACCAATCCAAAAATCCGAATATCCGAACCAAATAGTCCAATCCAAATTGTCCAATTGGACAATTCGGTTTTATCCGAATACTGAATAGCCCTAAGATTTACGATGTTTTAGACAATTACTTTATTTATTAAACATATTTCATATTAGGGATTAGCTACTGATCTCGCAATTGTTTATCGACGCACCCCCATCCCTCGCTAATTAGTCGAAATTGAAGGCATTCAGCAAGGGATCAGATCTCACAAATTGTCCATTTTTTCCATATGGTACACGACTACACGTTCAACGAGAGAATGCCGACGGAAATTTATTTGGGGTATGTGCATTTTGTTTTACTATTGCCAATCCCTCACTGAAATTGGCGCAACCCAATTCCAGTTTCACAAAATTGGTGTAAGTTTCCTTCCCTCCCGAATCTGCTTTATCACTCTGGAGTAAGTTCCCTTCGCCTTGTTAACATAATCTCATTCTCTTCATTCAAACAGATGACGATACCATTCACCATTGCTACTTCTGATTCCGACAATCTCCATACCCACCATAAAATCTAAAAGTAGTGTTCATTCATTGAGAAGCACTTGGCAAACTTAAATCAAGATTCTTTTGGATACTTGTTCTACAAACCTATTTAGAATAATTTATTTGTTTCTCGTAAGGCAGTCTTCCGAGAAAGGGATCTAATATCTAAAGAAACAAGTGGGAGTCAGATTGATCTTGATGAGATTCAAGAATCAACCAATGAATAACATGTTGAGGAATCTAATATACCTCCACTTCCACCTCGTAGATTTGATAGAGAACGTCGACCACTAGAGTTTTATGGATTCCATATTACTCAGGAGGATGACAACCTATTGGGTGATAATGAATCGTGCAACTATCAGGAAGCCATAACGAGCCCACATGCTGCAAAATGGAAAGAGGTAATGAAGAGCGAGATTCAGTCTATGTATGATAACGAAGTATTAAACTCGTTTGTGTAACACCCCAAAAATCAAGGTACTAACTAAGTTTTGTGCTTACGGTTTTCAGTTTATGTTTCAGGTACTTCCAGTTGCAAGGGGAAGAGCTCGGGGTGACTGCATTGCACACACCACATGGATTCCGCATTTGATATTTCACTCTGATTTTATGATATTTGATACACTTGTTTTATCTGGGATGTATGGATAATAATTGGAATAATATTTTACTTCATTTAAAAATAAAAAAATTAGACTATATTTTTGGGACGTTACAATTGAATTAAGCATGATCAATCTGGTTTAACCGCACGCTACAAGGCTCATCTGGTAGCCAAGGGCTTTCATCAACAATTTGGCATTGATTACCATGAAACCTTCAGTCCATTTGTCAAATTTACTACTGTTCGGGTGGTTCTTTCTCTTGATGTCTCCAACAAATGGCATCTTCGTCAACTGGATGTTAAAAATGCTTTTCTTCATGGTGATCTTAACGAAACTGTCTACTTACGCCAGCCTCCTGGTTTCTTTGATCCGCAGAAACCCAATCATGTTTGCTTACTTCATAAGTCTTTGTATGGACTTAAGCAGGCACCACACGCTTGGTTTCATCGTTTATCCAGTGCTCTTCACACTCTCAATTGTTGGGTTTTGATACGAAATAAAAGATTGTTTTTCACAAAAACGGGCAACGGAAGACTTTAAAAATAACAAGTTTATTTTTAGGTCATAACAAAACTGAACCAGCATGGATCCATTTATAGAGGTTAGAATGAAATAAAAACAACCATATGATGTTTTAGAGATAACCTTTGAAGCCTTTGAACCCACTTGGTTTTGGGGTGTTGATGAAGATAACAAAAGATCAAAGTGTATGATCTTCTCTACAAGTATCCACCATCAAAAGTAAGGCACTTGGAATGTTAGTTCCTTCTTCTATTCTTCAGTGTCTAAAGCCTTTAAGTGCTTAACTCAATTAAGCACTAAAGGGGAGAACTTAATAGGTCTTCTAAACATCAAAGTAAAGCATCAAAATGCATGGAGATGAAGCATCTCCATACTTACGATTTTAGAGAGAAGAAGAAGGGAAGAAGAAGAGCTTCACTCTTGCTCAAATGAAAGCCTCATGCATCTATTCTATAGCCCATGAAAAGTAAGGCCTAAACATTAAAATAATATAAAGTAATGGTAGCCTTTAGAAGCATGGGAGACAAAAGGTGGAAGGTTGAAAAAGCAACCTCCCACACCATCATTATGTCTTTTAAAAAGTAAGATTCTTTATTTTTTATAAACTCCAAAGTTTATAAAATATAAACTTTGTCTTTAGGTAAAAAACAAAAGAATCCAACTAGTCCAAAATGTTGTGCATGACTTATTAATTCATACCATATGAAATAATAACTAGTAATACTCTCTTATAATTATTATTTTCACAAAACAATAATTATTCCCTAATTAAAATACAATAATTGATATTATTTATTAGTAATCATATTAATAATATGTAACACCCAAAAATTTCAAGCCAAATTTAAACTTTTAAATCATTCAAAATACCAATGGTTTTTACAAAAAGGTTTTC